AAAAAAAACCTGTAGAGTGAGCTGAGGAGGAATGTTCGCAAGAGAGACCCAGGGCCTGAATGATCTGGAGAGATTCTGTGAAGAGGAGGAATGATCTCGGACACCGTGTTCTGTATCCTCCAACCTTATAAAACGTTATAGGAGAAGACCGACTTCTGGTTCATTGGCAAGGGGAGCTTGTACAAAGTTTTCAATGCAGGGCAACTATAATTGTAGCACGTGATTTTGCTAAAAGAAAAATATATTTGTTTTTCTCTGAATAAATTTATTTTAATTAAAGGTTGGATTTTTCTCATTTTTTCAATATGTGAGATGAAGCTGCTTCACCAAAAGGTGGATTTCTTTCTAACCCTTTTTACTGATCTTGACAAGGGGTGCCAACAATTGTGGAAGGCACTGTATATAATACATGCTATTATAATGAATGAGCAAGAATATGGTATTACGAACCTTACAGCATCAACTGAAAGGCAGGATTTAAATGATCTATTTTATGTGTAAGTTAATATTGCTCACTCTGTGAAATGGAGGACCCAAAAAATGGACCAAGTACACATGCAGTAGAGAAAACACCTTTTTCTTCCAGTTTATAACCATAGATTATAGATTAAATTAAACCTAAATCCTCATGTGTCACTGCCATGTCAGATTCCACCATCAAATGGTAAGGATCACTGAATGGGAGATGAATTTCCTCCCTGTGCCACTAACCTATGGTGTTTTCAGACAGTTACTGACAGGTACTGGCTGACTGAACTAGATGTCCCTCTAGTGGTCAACTACAGGTAATTCAGCTAACATGAAGAAAAAACGACTGTCATCACAAAGTAATGAACCTACATGAAAGACACAACAGTACCTAATTATATCAGCAAGTCATTATAATCACATTCAGGCACTTAAATTAGTCTTTACTCAACCATCATGCAAGGAGATTAGTCCAGAAAAAGTGCAGAAGAAGATCCTTATTTCTGGGAAACAATCCTCTGCTTACTGTGCTGGGGGTCATGTGACACATTAAGGGCTCTGCAATTCAGGGGTTTCACAAGACCGACTGTACCATTAGCCCAGATGATGAAAAGGCCCTGCTTCAGACCACAGTTTTTTCTGTAAATCACCAGATGATACGTGTGCAGGCGCA